GCACGTGCTCCTACCAAGGTTGCCTGCTCGAGGTGGTGGCTACGACTGCCCGCAACTAAAGACTGAACCTGGCACCTTGAGCTGAGCTGCCGCCCGAATGGTTCGGTGGATAGAGAAGGTGCTCTTAACAATGAGGCTGCTGGTTAGACTCCTGATGCAGCCCACGCACCAAATGAGCACTTCTGACTTGTCAGTCAGTAGTCTACTGAGAGGGTACCTGAGAGGACTGGGTGGGAGACTGGAAAAGAAAGAGACTAGAGATGAAAGCTGGGGACAGGAGGTCTACCCAATGCTGATAGCAGAGAGTGGCCCCATTTACACCTCCTCCAGGGCTTTCCATAAGGTGTAGGGAAGCAATCTTCCCGGAGTTAAAGCAAAACATAACAAGCAGAAACTTCATAGGATGGCATTCCACTCTGTAGCTTTCAAGGCCGTTGGCTGTTTTCTCCTCAGCGGCCAACCTTCCCACGCTGCTCACCCAGGCCTGAGAGCCTGTCAGCCTGCCAGCTCTCAGGCTTAACCCTTACTACAAACCTCCGGCTCCCTACAGACTCCCACATGGGATGGTGGCTATGCCCACCCATAACTAATTAAACACAGCACCTTGAGGTGAGTGGCGTGACTGCACTTGGAGCTGAGCTTGCTGCACCCTGTACAACTAAGATTGAAGGACAACAACTTGGCTGCTCCCCTTCCCCAATAAAATCTTTAAACAAAAGCAAACAAAAAAAGATGTCAAAACATCAAAATGTACAGAAAATAAAAAGTGATTAATACAACAGTGTCATTCCTCTTGGATACACTTTATCATCCAAATTCACTCTTTAGTCTTCACAGTGATGCTGAATGTACTTATCGCTTGAGAAATGATGAAAATTAAGACATGGCATGAGGTCTGGGGGAAAGGAGAAAAGCCCATCTTAGTAAAATGCTCCTACAGAGCCTAATTGCAAACCATGCTCTCAAGAGACCAAAAACATGCACATACAAACAACTGCTTCAGAGTGCTGAACACCCACTCAGAAGTTGTGAGTAGAACAGTCTCCTTGCTCTTCATTTCCTGTGAAGCTCTTAGAATGGAAACTGAGGTTCAATGTGTGTGGTCAGCCTTGAGAGAGAACAATCCAGAGAAGTTAGAGGAAACACGAAGAGACTCCAGGCATCCCTAAAACAAGTACTTGAGGCGGTACATGCCTCTGGGGCCCTTGAAATGTGTCCATTCTGCCTATCAGTGTGTGCTCCAAATCCAGAAATCACAGTTGGTTTTTCATATAATGCTCACTCATCTGAGATATAGTCTATTCCTTCTAAGAGTGTGACTTTGTCTAGGAAGTCCAGTGCATTTGGTCACATGAGAATGAGAACGACAGGTTATAGAAGAAACACGGAGGAGAGATGGGTCTGCTTCAAAGGGTCTGCTGAACTATCTGGCCCAAGTGGCAGGACTGCCTTCACCCCAGCAGGGCCCTTTCCTGCTCTAGGATCTGCCAATGCTGGTATCTTCCACGTCCCCCAGTAGATGAGCAATATTCCAGTTCAGGAAAGGTTCCTGAAATCAAAGAAGCCTACCAGGCACTAAGCTTTCCTTTTTTCTTTCAAGGAGATTCAAGAACCACACATTTCTGTGGTGTATTTGTGTGTCTGTGTCCCCATATGTGCTTTGTGTCAATACCTTACACCTCCCAGGTCCCTGATGAGCTCTACTTATACTGGTTGTGTGTGCACACATTTTGTTGTGGATGTGGTGTATGCATGTGTCCCGGCTGTGTGGAGGGTGTCAGCATCTATCTGTCACGTGTTCCCAGGCTGTATGTGAGGTATCCCCAGGATGTGCTAAGGACTGACACTATCACACCCGTCACACAGGGTCCCTGAATCTGACTGTGTCTCCAGGCTGCCCTGCAATGTCACCACCACACACCCATCCCATCCAATACTTGAATGCATTTCCAGGTTGTGCCACTGTCACATACCTGTCTGCTGGGACCAGACTTTAATCATGTATCTTATCAATGCACAGGAAATTGGGGGAGAGGGTCAGCATGTTAATAGAATGAGATGCAATGAGGCAAATCAAGAATGCTGCAAACTGTAATGGAAGCAGTTCATCATTTCAAGTAAATAATAACAAAAATGAGGTAAGTGGTACCTATAAGTTAACAGACTTACAAGACAGACATTTTGTATACTGACTGCATTTAGTCTGCCTTAAAAAACAACTTTGAGAAAATTGACAAAATTTCAGCACTGATAATACTTACATTTAAAAATATTTTTATTTTGTGTGAGAAAGTTATTGGCATTATGAAAAAGCTCTTGCATTTCAGAAAAGTATTAAGAAGTTATGCATCAAATGACACGATGTCTGGGTTTTCTAAGTAAAATACCCAACTAATGTGCATGAGGAGAAATGAAACAATATGCTGTGAATAATGATGGAAGATTGGGGAAGGGTTCATGAGTCTTCATAAGACAGTCTTTCCCACTTTTGTGCATATTTGAAAATAGCCATTATAAAAGGTAGAACATTCCTTGTATCAGTAATTTTATATGTTGAGAACAATGAGTTTAAAAAGGGCATAAAGAGACTTTTGTTTTTATATATCAAAATATACATTTTAAATGTGCATTAAAGTCAATTATACATCAATTAAACTATTTAAGTTACAAATACTCAAACATCAACATTCTCTAATTATTTCACTAAGTTTTGGTATTATCTATGTTCCTGAATTTTTTTGTGGCTACTGGATCAATAAGGAGGCAGTACAATGGCATGCCATTGTCATTTCTTCAGGTAAGCAGTTTGAAATTGGCCACAGTGGAAGTATTTTCACCAAGGAAATTAGCAAACACAAATTACGGCTTGATTTATTGCATTGTTTAATACAATATAATGAATGTCTACTTCTAGAAAAGTAATGTGGAAAATGTTAATAATGCTGATAAAACTTAGTGCATGGTATATGTGGCCATTATATTGCTCATACCACACACACAAAAAAATGACTATTCTTCCACTATTCAAAAACAATTATTTCATGTACAGAAAATAAGTCGCTCTCATCATTGAAGAATGAATAAAATTCCAACATGTTTGTTTCATTGTCTTGTTACTAGTTTGTTTCATTGTCTTGTTACTAAAAGGCAAAGAGCCAAATTTCATAAAAAACAGGCCAAAGACAAGAACAAGCATTTTACTAAAGACAAATAGGTTACAAATACATAATATAATGCTCAATTATAATAAAATCATAAATCCTTAGGGAAAGGCAATTAAAACCAGTGAGACACCACTATACACTTCTTTTAAAAGAGTAAAATTAAAAAGTGACCTTATCAGGTATTGACACGGATGTGAAGGAGCTGGAAGTCTCACACACTGCTGGCGGGAATGCAAAGAGACACAACCATTTTAGATCACAGCTTGGCAATTTCTTAAAAAGTTAGATATTCACCTACCCCATGACTCAAGTATTGGATTCTGAGTTATTAATATAAATGAAACATATACCCATATAAAGTACTGTAAACAAATGTCCTTATCAGCTTTATTTGCAATAGCTAATACTGGAAATAACCCAAATGTCTATAAACAGATGAATGGATAAACATAGTTGACTATACATGGAAGAGAAAGCTACTCAGGAATAAGAATGAAATATTCATACATGCACCACTTATGAATCTCAGTAACTATGCGGTATCAATGAAACCAGAAAGAATAAACACTTTGTAATCAGTCATAAATTTCTAGAAAATGCAATCAATTGTAAAGGAACATAAATAATCAATGGTTGCCTGGAGGGCTGGGGAGAGATTATAAAAGGAATGAGGGAAATTATGTAGGTGACAGATATGCTCATTATCATAATGGTCTCATGAGTTTATACCAAAACTTATCAAGTTGTATACTTTAAATATGTACAATTTATCCAATTATAGCTTAATATAGCTTCAAAATATGTTTCACAATAAAATCTAAATCTTGCATTCAGAAACCAGATTTGGGAACTCTGTATTGACTCCACTATCTGACTCCTCATGCTTTGAGGGACAGCCAGCCTTTCCTTGGTGGCAGGAAATACTGGCTAACAATGAAGGCCATTTCTACCTGAGTCAAGAATACTGGCTTAGTCACCAAAGCCACATCCCTGGACTAAAGGACTTCTTTCCTCTCCATCCTTTTACCTGTAAAGCAATGGCCTTGAGGTGAACAGCTCAGTCTACAGAAATCCACAAAACCCTAAGACCATTTTGTCTGCCTATGACTTCAGCAACACAAGATAAACATACCTGGAAGCCCTAAGATTTGGGGACATGCTCATCCTGCAATCACGAAACTGGAACTGTGGATGAATCTTTAGAAGAGGCACATACCACAAAGTTTGCTGCAGTCTCCTCCACTCTCTATTAATTTCATGTTTCTGTACCAATTACGGTCTCCCTTGCCCATGGAGTCTTACAATTTAGTGACACTAGCTTACTGAATTCTGGATATCAGGGCACGTGGCTCCTTTGCAGAACCTTGGACTAAGATTCCCTTCAGCAGTGCTGGGCAATATGTGTTGTCTCCTGTGAGCAAGGTAAATATTACATTGACTCCAGAAGTACTGGAGGTGTCACAACTACCTCTTCCTCAGGGTGACCTCTGGCATACAGGCAACATTTTTTTTTAGATTTTTTTTTTAATTGGGGAATCGGGGAAGGGGAACAAATTGCTGTTGTTTTGTTCTTCAGTCTAGTTGTGGAGGACGTTACTTCATTGGCCCATGTTGGCGTCATCGCCGTGCTCCTCCCAGGTGAGGCAGTCACTCGCTGGCCACTGGACAGCTGCTTACGGCGGCTCACAGCAGCTCATGAAAGTGCGCGCCCGCTGCCGGCCAGACCCACTGCAGCCTATGCTCTTGCCTGCGACTCACGGCAGCCCAGCTCCAAGTCGAGCTGTTGTTCACCATCTCAGCTGTAGAGGGCACAGCGCCACTGGCCCTCATGTGGGATCTGAACTGGGGCACTCCTGCTCAGAGTTGGTGTCCCAAGCCAACTCCTAACCAACGCGCCACTTGGCCGGCCCCAGGCAACATTTTAAGAATGACCACAAAGCAGTCTTTCCAAGGAGGCTCTGGCAGAAACGCAAACTAGGCCAAACTGGAGAACAGCCATCCTACTGTCCCCTCTGAGGCATAGTTTGGATCCTCACAAAATTTGTTTCCCCTTCAAGTTGGCAGAGTCCTATTGTGCTTTCAAACTACCCACATAGTGAATAGAGATTCCAAGACTAAAGGTACTTAAACAAAAAGGCCCTTATTATGGCACAAACCAGAAAAATGTGCAACAGGAAGTTTCTGATTTGGTAACTTGGAAGTTGAAAAACTTCATCACAAGCACTACCTAAGACCAACTATGTCCCTGAAAAAGGTAATCCTTCTCTGCAAGCCACCAGCAGAACTCAGGAGTTCTCTGGGCCAGCATAGTGTCAGGTCCATGCCCTAACTTGTCAGAGAGAAAGGCTCAGGACACTCAGGATTTCCTCCAACAAATGGGAGAGCAGAGGTGCGCTTCCTTGAGCTGGTTAGGGTGGTGGCTGATACATGCTGTGTGGACCTGCCAGGTGGTAGAGGTGAAATGGCTTTTGCCAGAAATTGCTAGTGACATAAATTTGGCAAGGGTCCCAGGACAGGTTAAACATGCTTCCCCCATCACCGAAACTTATGGATAATCTCTAGTTTGTGGATGTCTGGATATATGAGTCAATTCAAAGAGACAGCTCCTCACAGAGTCTTTCCTCCAAAGCCGTTATACTAAAGAAAGAGCACATTCTCTGTGTACCTAAGGCCTTTCTCCAGTGTGAACTCTTTGGTGTTGACTAAGGTCAGATTTGCAGCTAAACAATTTTCCACATTCACTGCATGTGAGTTCGCCTATGTCGAAGGAGGCCAGAGCTCTGGCTAAAAGATCTCCCACATTCACTGCATTCATAAGGCTTTGCTCCAGTGTGAACTGTCCAGTGTCGAATGAGGTGGGTTTTGCGGCTAAAGAATTTCCCACATTCACTACATTCATGAGGCCTTTCTCCAGTGTGAACTCTTTGGTGCTGAATGAAAACAGATTTCTGGGTAAAGGATTTCCCACAATCACTGCACTCATAAGGCCTTTCTCCAGTGTGAACTCTTTGGTGTTGAATGAGGACAGATTTCTCACTAAAAGACTTCCCACATTCATTGCACTCGTAAGGCCTTTCTCCAGTGTGAACTCTCCAGTGTCGAATGAGGTGAGTTTTACAGCTAAATGATTTCCCACATTCAGTGCACTCATAAGGCCTTGCTCTAGTGTGCGCTCTCTTATGTCGCAGGAGGCCAGAACTTTGGCTAAACGATTTCCCACACTCACTGCATTTATATGGCCTTTCATTAGTGTGAACTCTCTGGTGTTTAATGAGAATGGATTTCTGGATAAAGGATTTTCCGCATTCACTGCACTCATAAGGCCTTTCTCCAGTGTGAATTCTTTGATGTTGAATGAGGTCAGATTTCTGGCTAAAAGATCTCCCACATTCAATGCACTTATAGGGCTTTGTTCCAGTGTGAACTCTCCAGTGTCGAATGAGGTGGGTTTTACGGCTAAAGAATTTCCCACATTCACCACACTCATAAATCCTTTTTCCAATCTGAGTTTGCTGATGCTGAACAAGTCTGTATTTGCAGCTGAAGGTTTTCCCACATTTGCTACACTTAGCAAGCCCTTCTCCAGTACAGGCTCTCTGGTGGGGAAGTGGGTGTGTGTTGCTGAAAACTCTCCTGCTTTCAATCCACTTGTCATGACTTTTTCCACCATTAAAGGGCTCCCCACACTTGATGGTGCTGTGTGGCTTCTCACCATTGGGAGTGGCCTGATGCTGGAGAAGGCCCGAGGTAGCTAGAAAGTCCTTTCCATCCTCCCCACAGGCGAATGGCTTCCCTGACACATGGAATCTGCAGCTTGTCACACACGAGGCCCTGTACACATCCATTTTGAAGATTTTCTCTCCACTGCCATGCTTTTGGTGCTGGTGAATGTTTTCACTGAACGAGAAGCCTCTGGATGCCCCATCTAAGTATGGCTCCTGCCCAGGATATGGTGCTTGGAGCTCAGTCAGGTACAAAATGTCTTTTAAGCCTGGGACATACTTCTCACAGGGGTGAGTCTTCTGGGTGGATGGACCTGCCTTTGGAGTCCTGATCTGTGAGTCTCCTTCTACAGAAGTGCTCTGCTCAGAAGGTACCTCCTCATCCTTGGCACCACACCAATAATCTGAAAGAAGAGAAATGCTGATAAAGTGCATGTTAACTTTGGTAGGGGGAGGAAGTCCTAACAAAAGTGTCTGTCATACACATACATTCAAACCAAAGAATGAATCCATCGGATATTTTTCAGTATGAGGCAACAATTTGAAGGGAAAGCTGCTTTGCAGTACTGGGATTCTAAGGATCATACAATAGAATGCGAAGACTTTCAGGGACAAAAGGCAGAAGTATGGGGTGCCACACAGGGAGTAGAGCCAGGATTAACACAGTTATAGATGAAATGACAAATCAGGAAAGTGTCAAGTATATGGAATAAAGTGTAGACATTATGTGTGTCCAGTGGTACTTGTACCAAAACACTGGTATACACAAGGTAGATTCCTGGTATGACCTGAACACAGATCTGAGACCATCTTGCTATGTCCACCCTGTGACTCAGGGCTCTCCCCACATTCCCAGTTGGGTAAGGACCTGAATGAAGCAAGTCCTTAGGGAAAGAGAGGATACTTGAGTGGTCAAAAATGGTCCAGAGCAACTCAGGAAACAATAAACTACAGGAAAAAAATATTACAATAAAATCTCAAAGGCAGGTCTTTCAAGAAAGGATTATGGACCACGTAATTATAATTAGTAACTGTAACAATGCTTACAATTCCTGATACAGATGGTCACAAGGAAATGTTAGCTAGAAGGGGGCAGAATCTGGAGCACAAGATGCCATGGATGCAGTCATCCTGCCATGGACAGGGAAAGAAAGGTGAGGTCCATTAGGCTGACTACCAGACATCTGATTCCCAGGCCCTTCCCTGCACACCTTGGGGTAACAGGAGTTAGGGCTGCTTGACAAGTGCACATGATTTAGCACTGATACCCATAGCACATGTGCCAAGGGGTGGGGAAGTCAGCAGTGCCAATTGTCTGGCTGTGAAAAGGACAGGGCTGCCTCTGGAGCAGGGGAAAGAGAGAGACCAGATATGGACACTGGGAGGAATATGAAGGCCTTACCCAAGGATGCTGTAAGCGCAAAATTCTCCAGCATCACATCATGGTACAGGAACCTCTGAGCCTCATCAAGGAGGCCCCACTCCTCCCGGGAGAAATAAATGGCCACATCTTCAAAGGTCACACAGCCCTGCCATGATGAGGACAGTTCATTGCATGATCAGCTTCTCTCCCCAAGTGCATCCACTCACTTACCCCCTGCTCACCCACCACCCAATTTCCCCACCTCAGAGGAGATCTCAGGCCCCAGTGCCACTGATGTGCACTCTCTTCTCATGGTCTCTTTGATCACTGTGCCCATCCAAGGCAACAACAATAGAGGATAGCTGAGCTTTGGGCCTGCATGCAGGGAAGCACTCCCCCTTGTCAGGTCATTCTCTTAGGATCCTCCAGATAATGCGTCCCAAACACAACCAAGGGTGTTGGCTCATTTTTCACCCTATGTCCTCAATGCTTGGGCCCTCAGGTCACCAATTCTCACTCCTCTCCACGTAGACATCACTTTATACCACATCTCTCTGAGTCACCACCTTTTCCCTGCCCTGCACCATAGGCATCTCCCTGTCCTTCCTATGTGCTATCCAACACATGGCATATAGATAGTGCCTGGAAAATTCAGACAAGATCCAGTACTACCCCAGACCTCCAATGGTCCCCACTGCCATCAGCAGTCCAGAATCTTGCTCTACAGGTCCCCCTGCCTGACTCTGCTCCTTGCTTCAACCTCACCTACACAGAGCCACTTGTAGATTTCAGGTACCTACGACCTTCTCCCACTGGTGCTGCACTAGATGTCCTCTCATCAGTCACAGCCGTCTTCTCTCTTCCTAACCCTCATTCAAAACCCAGTCGCAGAGATTTTCCACCCAAGGTCCAGTGACTCTCCCTCATGATCACTTGTGCCCTAAACTAATATACCCATCTGACAGAAATACCACAGACACACCAAGGTCACAACAAAATCCTGGTGAGTCCACAGAGCAGTGAACCAGCAGCCTTGATCACCTGCCAGATCATTCTCTCTCTCACACTGTTCCCATGGCCTCTTCTCTTCTTCACCAGTGTTTGTGATGTTAATGACTGCCCACCTACATGCCCAAGCATGAGACCTGGGCCTCAGACTCCATCTTCCTCTTCCTGAGCTATTGTCATCATGACCAGGATAACCCTACTAAATGTGATTCACAGTCTTACAGACAATGTTTATATCCTCCCAAAATTCGTATGTTGAGATCTAACCCCTGATGTGATGGTATTTAAAGGTGGGCATTTGGGGAATTAATCAGTTTTAGATTGGGTCATGAGGGTGAGACTCACATAATGGGATTAGCATGCTTATGTGAAGAGAAAGAGAAAGATCTCTTGCTCTCTCCACTCACTTGCACCAAGGCCATGTGAGGATACAGCTCACCAGAAACAGAATCTGCCAGCTGCTTGATTTTGGACTTTCCAGCCTCCAGAACTGTGAGAAATAAAGGTATTTTGTTTCAGCCACCCAAGCTGACTAAGACACACAGCTCCACCCTGGTTCACATAATATCCACCACCTTTCGCAGATGTCCATCCTGAACCCCTCCTCAAAAGTCCCAGACCTGCATGTCCAGCTGCTCACTTAATACCTCTACTGATATACTTAACATAGTCAAAACAAAATTCTTAATATCCTGAATGAAAAGTAACCCTACTACCGACTTCCACATCTCAGTTGATGGAATTTCCATCTTTCCACTCCCAAACCCAGAAACCTTACAGTCATCCCTGACTTCTACTCTTTTTTCTCTCCCTTTCAAAATCAGAAAATCAGAGCAGATCTAAAAAGCCTGATGCAGCCAAGCATTTCTACCACCTCCAAGGCTATCAAACTGGTCTACATCACCAACACTCAACTGAACTACTGCATTAGCCTCCTCTCTGGTCTTCCTACCACCTTCTTCAAACCTTCAGTCTGTTCTCCATGCTGTAGCCACAGGGAGCCTTATGAGGGGTTGGCCAGATCATCTCCCTTCTCTGCTCCAAAACTCCATTGTTCCCATCACTTCCAGATTAGACACACAACTTCTCAGGGTGCCATCCCAGGCCTGATTCCTTTCCCCTTGCTCTATGTTCCCATGACAAAGAAAAGAGATTTGAGGTTCCCTTGAACCAGTTCAGCCACACCTCCAAGAGTCTAAACATATTAGTACCTATATCTGGGGCAACCTGCCTTCATACCTCATCTGACTGGTTGCTAGTAACAGGAAACCCCAGCCTGGTCTGGGGACCCTGGGCTTAGGATTTGTTCACAGCCCCCAGGCCCAAGGGCTGGTAGAGTGATAGGTGAAGAGTTCCAGTACACCACAATCCCAGGGATCATGAGTGGGATCAAGACCAGTGAGGCTCTGGAACACCCTCCACTCACTCACCTCTGTAGAATCCATACATACTTTTGTACTTTAACAATCTGTGTGAACAGAGAGTTTCTGAGGGGCAGTGTTCAATGGGCTCTGGGCTCCCCTATTCCCCTGCTCAGTTCTGGAGCTGGGTGACCTGAGATGACTGCGCTATCTCTGAGTCTCAGTCCTCAGTGCTGACTCTTATAAGCTGAGTGACCTTTGACAAACCCCCTCTGCCTCGTATTATCATTCCCTTTCCAGTGTGCTCCTCTGAGCAGCTTTTAAAAAATGTTTAAAAGCCTAATTCAGGCATAGCCTTTTCTGTTCATAACTTTCTATGGATTCCAGCGTCCTGACAATGTCAGTCTGTCACCTGATGAGGCAAATAAAGTTAATAGGAGTGGGTTTGTGAGCTGACAAGATGGGACGGGCAAGAGATTAACAGGAGCAAGCTTGTAAGCTGGCAGGAGTGAGCTTAAACATTAACCACTTGGCTCTGACTCCCCTGGCCAGCACTGCACCTGCAGGTTGACAAGTACCTTACATCCATCATATAATACATTCCCAATTGCAATGGCAACAACCCCCCCCCCGACACACACACACAAACTAACAATCATCCATCATAGATGGGAACAGAATGGTTCCCAATCACAACACCCCCCCGCCGCAAGCTGACAAGTGCCTTACATCCTGCTTAGAAAAATATAAAACCCCAGCACTCCTTTTCATCGCTGCAGCTGTCCCTATCGGGCTCTGTCCTGGCAAAACTTCCCTTTACCAGAACTATCTCTCTTTGACTTTCAATAACTCTATGCTTACCTCCTGTAGAGTCTCATAAATTCTTTTTACATTCTGCAAACAACCAGGGGTTAATTCTACACCAAGACATCACCCAGGACCACTTTGACTCACACGTTCTGTTCCATGAGGATACGAGACAGATACCAGATTTCCCAAATCCTCCCGGCTCAGTTGACCCTTCACGTCTTTACACAGCCGGCCTCTCTGCCTGTAACCCTGTTAGAAAAGGTCCTAGTCTTTTCTGTCAATGACAGCAAAGTTTAAAAATATACTTCCCCTTTCTCACTATTGTTTAGGCGTTCCAGTGAAAATATACTTTCTCACTATTGTTTAGGAGTTCTAGTTAAAAATATACTTTCTCACCATTGTCTAATAGTTCCTCATTTTCAAGCTTACCTAATCTTGTAACTAGGCAGATCTTGCTTTTCTATTAGCCAAGTAGTTCAGACTGTAAAGTCACGCTCTCACTAATAGAGAACGACATAGTGGAACCTGCGTGAGGGATAAAAACTGAGTGGACTTCCCACTCAGTGTGCTTGCTAGAGGGGCTTACGGTGGCTCCGCACCCTTCTGCAGAAGTAAAGTTTGCCTTGCCGAGTTACTTTCAACTTCATGTGTCTTTATTTGCGACATGGCTAAAATCTATTCCCAACAACCCTCTCCCACACCCTTTCACACTGGATGTCGCCCACGAGCGCTTCATTGTCCTAGACGCCGGGGCCTAGGCTGCAGGACATGAGCAGGCGCCCCGCACCCGGAGCTTTAGGATTCAGGTACGGTGAAGGCGGTGAGGGCCTGGCGGACACGCACTCACCTGAGCCGTGTCCCTCAACGCGGCCGCCGCCATCGGACTGTGTGGGCGGAGCAAGGCTGGGAGCGGCAGGCGACCCGGGCAGAGACACCTGGCAGCAGAGTCCTCGCAGCCAAATGCCTGAGACCCTCCTCTGTGCAGCAGGGACAACTCCTCCCGTGCCTCCTCGGGCCCGTCACCTCAGCTCCGATCCAGCGCTACTCAGTCTGTGAAGTACGCACAGGCCCAAGAACGGTCGAAACGACCGCCACAAAAATAAATAAATAAAATGCCGGAAGTCCCGCGCCCGACGCGATGCGCACGCGGGAAATCGATCCTCTCCTGAGCCTTCATTGGTTTAATCCCGCAGTCTCCCGGCTCAGAGTCTTCGGGGTAATGTAGTTCTCACAGCTGCAAAGGCCCCGGAGACGGGTGCCCCTCACCTGGATCTCCAGGGGAAATTGACAACGCCAGAGATACCGGGAAGTGTCTCTAGCCTCAAGGGGCGGAGGAGGGGCTTCGCTTCTTCCTTAAGGAACCGTACTCAGCACTTTATTAAGGGAGTGTTGTCTGCAACTGATCACCTAAGTGGCGAAATTATTTCAGATTCTTTGAAGTTTAGCATGCCACCTGAAGTCTGAAAGTATTATTTCAGGCGCTCCCAATGACTGTAGATCCAAAGGGATGTTTAATTGACTAGTCAGTTAGACACAGAATGTGACCACTCTTAACTGAAACCGAATAAACATTTTTTTTTTCTCGTCAAGTGTCTGGAGACCGAAATGTTAGAATCAGTTTTGTGCGTTTCAGTATATTGGGTGAGGAACAAGAGAAAAAGACCACACAGGGTCAGGGCAGAGAAGTCAGAGGTGGGACAGTGCAGCCTTACCCACCAAGAGCAGGAGCCCACAGTTACCCAGCATCACATTCTAGTATCAGGTACTCTGGGCTAGGTCTAAATGTCCACATTTTCCCCAGGTGAAGGTCACAGTCATATCACCAATGCCTGGAAAGTCAGAGGTAGCAAGTGTAACGGTGACCCTGTATCTTCTATTTTTGAAAATTGGAACTCTGATGTAATTCGATTTGACAGTGGTTTGGCTTGGGACTTTTTGAAAGTTTATTGACCTTTTTTCCTTTCTTTGCTTCTCTCTCCTCCTACCAAACCTTGATGATTCTGTTTACTGTGCATTTACTATGCATACCAGTTTCAATGGTTCTGTTTACTTCACACCAGTGTGCACATTGCTAGGTAATTTGGGAGAGGTTTTTGCATCTGTATTGAATTCACTCCTGACCCTGGGGCAGACCAGCCTCTAGGAAGTGCTTTTTCCTGAAATGCTTGGTCAAATTCTCCTTCCTTTGTTCTGCCCCTCCTTGAGTGTCTATAAAACCTGTTGGTGGTATTAAGAGCAGGAAGGCAGTCTTTGTGACAGGGAGTACACTGCCTTCCCTTATTGCTGGCATTTTGGAATGCAGTAAGTCCCCGACTTATGAACAAGTTCTGTTCCAGGAGAACGTGGTTAGTCAGATTCGTTTGTAAGTCCAACGAAGTGAGTCTTTGTGCTTCTTAGCCGTCCCCTCCACATCACCACTGCTTTTCCTCTTGCTTCTGGATATCCTGGGCTCTGATTGAGCATTGTACTACTGGACATTATTGCACTGTACAGTAAGCACACAGCAGCATAACTGTGACAATGGCCGGCAGACATGTGAGCTACTTCCGTGATTTGTTCGCATCTACGAATGTTCATAATGTGTGGTCTGTTCGTATCTATGAAAATTTGCAACTCAACTGTTCGTAAGTCAGGGACTTACTGTAAAACTACTTTTCTTTCCACCAGCCTTGCCTCTCAAGTTTTGGCTTTCATGCACTGAGCAGCTGGACCTTTTGTACAGTCACACAAGTAGCCTTTGGCTGTTGGTTGAGATCTTTTTGCTTGGCCACTACAAAAGGTGTCGAGAGCCCTAGGCCTGAACCACTGAGGTGCCTTGATGGCAGAATTCTCTGCCACCTCAGGGTGGAGGGGGACACTGCCTCTGGACATAATGTAATTGTAGCTGAGAGAAAAGATTCCCATGTAAGGAGTCATTTCTGAGTCAAGGCTTTTGTGACTAGGGCTCTGGCTGATTATGTTCCCCCACATGTCCTCATGTGTTCACATTCAATCATTGGATCTGTGAGGTTCCAGGTTGAGCAAACTGGAACTTTTGTACATTTCTTATGGTAATGTAAAATGTTATAATGTGAAAAATAGTATAAGGTCTTCAAAAGTTTAATATAAATATGTCATCTGATCAAGCAATTCCATTTGCAAGTCTATACTCCAGAAAATTGAAAGCAGGGACTCAAACGTATCCTTGTATACCCATGGTCATAGCAGCATTAATCACAACAGGTAAAAAGTGGGAATAACTAAAGTATCCATCAACAGGTGCATGGATAAACAAAATGTACATGTCCAAACAATGGAATATTATTCTTCAGAAAGTTCTGATACATGCCACAAAATAGATGAACCTTGAAAACATTATGTTAAGTGTCATAAACCAGACACAGAAGATAAATAGCATATGGTTCCACTTATAAGAAATATCTGGAAGGCCGGTTGAGTGGCTCAGTTGGTTAGAGCGTGAGCTCTGAGCAACAAGGTCACTGGTTCGATTCCCACATGGGCCAGTGAGCTGCGCCCAAGCTGAGCTGTGGCTGAGCTGCTAACTGGATGCTAGCTGGATGGCTCAGTTGGTTATTGAATGTGCTCTTAACAACAAGGTTGCTGGTTCGATTCCCACATGGGATGGTGGGCTGTGCCCGCTTCTCCCCTGCAACTGGATTGAAAGTGGGGACTGGACTTGGAGCTGAGCTGCGCCCTCCACAACTAAGATTGAAGGACAACAACTTGACTTGGAGCTGATAGGTCCTGGAAAAACACAATGTTCCCTTCCCAAATTCCCCAACACTGTTCCCTTCCCCAATTCCCCAACAAAATATTTTTTAAAAAGAAACATCTGGAATAAGCAAACTCATAAAGACAGAATGTAGATTAGATGTTCCGAGGGGCTGGAGTAAGGGGTAAATGGAGAGATATAGCCTAATGGATATACAATCTCTGTTTGGGTTTCCTAAAAATTTTGGAAATAGTGTTGGTAGATGCACAACATTGCAAATTTACCTAATGCCACCAAATTGTACACTTAAAAATGATTAAAATGGCAAATTTAGTATTACATAAAATTTACAACTATAGGGTCGGCCAAGTGGCACATTGGTTGAGAGTTGGCTTGGGATGCCACCTCTGTGCAGCAGGACCCCAGTTCAGATCCCACTTTAGGGCCAGTGACACTGTGCCCTCTACAGCTAAGATGGTGAACAGCAGCTAGACCTGGAGCTGGGCTGCTGTGGGTCGTTGGCGACAGCGTGGGCTGTAGTGGGCTCCCGTGGGCTGCCGTGAGCGGCCAGTGGCCGACGTGAGCTGCCAAGAGCTGCCGTGAGTGGTCGTCCAGTGGCCAATGACCGATCTGCCTCACTCTAGAAGAGCACAATGATAATACCAACATGGGCCAGTGGAGCGACGTCCTCCGCAGCTGGACTGAGGAGCAAGGGGACAGCAACTACTCTGTTCCCCTCCCCCAATTCCCCAATAAAAATCTTAAAAAAAAAATTTACTACTATATACATATGCACCAAACCACCCAAACTAAACTCAGAAATTTTCTTGTTATATTATTTCAATAATGTCATGAACTTTCCCTTTGATGAAGCTAAAACTGTTAGTGTAATCTTTCTATAAGCACATATATAATGTTCATGTTAGGGTTCTTATAGGATTATAATTTCCAGGATCTCACCACCCCATTCTACGTAGAATAATAAATTTCTATGAAGAATCTGAACATTATTCGTCCCCTAAATAAAGACAGGTGGTGGAAGGAGTGATTAAATTTCCTGTAGAGAGCAGGCTCATGTGGTCACAATCAAATTAGAAAAAAATTGTTTTTCTTGTCAAGCAGGTAAAACAAAACTGAGGGACACGGGTATCACTGCAGATGAGCACAAAGGGGCTGAATGTCAAAAAACATGAAGACAAGAATAAAGAGGTGTCCACCAGCCACTGGCCTTGAATAACAGATAGAATCATTCGAATAGAAGAGAAGACAGTGAGTAAAAGGAGGAAAAGGGGGTAATGAGGATTAAGATGATACACGTGGCTCTGACAACATGAGATTGGCTATTGCTGTGCATGTGCTGGACTTGCTGCTGGTGCCTGTGCAGGAAAAGGACCATGGAGCCATCAGCCCAGACCATGAGGCCCAAACACATCAGGTCAATTGTGGAGAATATGACTGCAACTACAAACCTAGTAAGTCTGTCTAGATTGAGTATGGAACAGTATCCATAATTTATTTTCACACTAAAGTTTTTGCTGTGCATCAGACTACTTATATTAATAGGAACAATGATCTTTACCAAGAGATGTACAATCCAGTAGAGAAAACAGCAGAAACCAATGCACTTTGGGGATTTCATTCTGAGCTCCATCTACTTTGAGAAATTGGGGCAAAGCTTAATTATCTGGTAGACAGTGAGGAGGGAGGTAGTGCTGAAGCAAACCTCTTTGGCCACTCTGTGGAAATAGAAGACAAGTTTACATCCAGTCTCATTCAGGAAATGATCTAAAAGCTGTCATTGTCTGAGGGATCCCTGTGGATGAAATCACCAAGGAGTTGGCTAAGACCAACTGGTTGAGAATCAAGTCTGTGGGTCTCACCTTGTGTCCAGTAAGAAGTGTGAAGTTATACAGACAAAGGAGGAGAAGTTTTCTATGACTCCCACTCCCATAAAAGTGAGCAAGATAATCTTCATTTCTCACTTGGCAGGAGCCATCACATCAGTAGCTGTAGGAGATATATGGAAGCCAGATGAAGGGCAGTTCAGCCAACAAGAAACATGTTGCCACTACCATCATGCCTAGTATCCTCCAGTGCTGACCCTAATACATACTTTCTGAATGTGCATGGGCATTAAGCATGTGTGCTCATGGGTGCAGAAGCTGTTCACGGAAGTTCTACTCGAAAACACTTTAAATATCTATCTATGGGAACTGGGTGAATGCATCATGGCCCATTTACACAACAATTTTCCACATCTGTAAAATGAGTCAGGAGGACCTCTACACACTGATCTACAGAACTGGATCATTTCTAAAGTGAAAAGCCAGGTATGAAACTGTGTAGAGTATGCTAAAGTGTTCCCAAGACATAGTGGAATGAAAATATAGATGCAGAACATGTATAAGATGGGGCAGAGTT